GGACAGTGACCGGCCCGCGACGGAGATCGGCGACCGGACTTCTCGCCGGAGAAGAACTTTGGTCGGATTTGGGCTCCTTACTCACTTCTCATCCCTTGATCTCTCTCCTTGTTCTCTCCTTCGTTTCCCTCGCTGTTGTTCCCCAAAGCTCCATTTATAGAAGCAAGGGAAGGTGGAGGGCTCGCCGCCTGCGAGCGGAGAGGTGCGACAGCACGTGGCCGGTTGCGGCGGGCGACTGCGGCTGCGGCGGACGACTTCGGCGACTGTGACTGCGGGGTGCGGTGCGGGCAAACGGGGAGGCGGCGATGAAGACAGCGGGCTGCGGCCGCGGGGAGGACTGCGAGCGTGAAACGCCCCCGCGTGCGGCGGTGCACCGTGTGAACGCAGGCTTGGGGAACGGCTGCGGCGAGGAACGCAGGTGGGGCCGGTGAGAAGTTGACTGCGGTCAACATCCTAGTTGATTCGATTCGAGCCCCAATCCGACTCAATTTTGAGTCAGTTCCCAAACTTATCGAGGAAGAATATTGAGGATAATATAAAGAAAGAGTCCCATGCTAATATGAATATCGAGGAAGATCAAAATTTTATAATCTCACCTAAAAAAAAAGAAAAAAAAAAGTGACTCGCACATGAAAAGTCATTGACTACCAAATACGTCCACAAATCAAAAAGTCGGACTACTTGTGGGTATTTTTCCTGACAAATCGTTGTAAGATAGATTCAAATGGTTCGGGAAATATAGAGTAGAAAGACTTGAAGGTATCTCCCCTATGAGATTATTCATCGATAAGTCGAGTGATTCCAATTGTTTCACATCGCCAACCTTTTCTGGTTCCTTCCTATCAAATGATTCATCGACAGGTTTAGGAAGTGCAGTTCGAGAAGTTTGGTCAGTTCTCTTGGGATTTCACCAGAGAGATGATTATTTGATAGGTCAATGCATGTCACGAGCGAGAGGATGATGGTCGTGTGATCAACCATTGATTCTTTTGTAGTCATCAAGATGCTCTCGCTATAATAATAAAATTCAACATGAAACAGTGACTTGGTATCATGTTGTACCTCAACCATGGCACTGAAACTTCCAAAAGACGATGGTATGCTACCAAAGAGATTGTTGGCAGAAAGATCCAAAACCTGAAGAAAACTGAGATCTGCTATATTCTCTGGGATGGTACCATATAGCAGGTTTGACCTCACACCAAGAACTTTCAATGATGAGAGGTTTCTTCCAATCCATGTTGGTATGCTGCCATGCAAATTATTTTCACCCAGATCAACGGTAACTAATTGGTCACAATGTTTCAAAAGTATATGCAGTGCTTCCGACAATATTGTTGGATGATAAATCTAGGTATTCTAAATTGATGAGGTTCCCCGATCTCAGGTGGTGGTAATTGTCCGGTAATAAAGTTACTTGATATATCTAAATGAACCAGGTTAGTGACGTTCCCCATGCTCAGTGGTACCTTTCTAGTGATAGAAGTAGCATACAAATCTTGGTACCCTAATTGGATAAGTTTCTCCACTGATTAGATTGTTCGATAAGCTTAAATATTGCGAGCTTGTGAGATTGCCCAATATTTCTACAATATGTCCAATGACGTCGACGTTCCCTGTCGAATCTGTAGATACTCCAAGTGTCTAAGACTATACAGAGCTTGTGTAATATCTCCGGATAAGTAATTCCAGCTCAAGTCTAGATGCTTTAAGCCCCTGCTCCTGACATTGCTAAGAATTCCAACAACTTCTCCTCCAAGGGAGTTGTGTCACAAATCCAAGTCCTTTAGATTAAGGAGAGCTTCAGGAGCAACTTGTAGCGACTCAATAGTGAGACTCCCAGAGTGACGAGGTACTCAAGGCTGGTGGTATTAGACAACCATCTTAGCATGGTAGAAGTGATGTTGGAATTCCAAGATAGATCTAATCTAGCGATGGCTGTCAAATTGAAAGGGGGCAAAGGAGATGAACAAGGAGCAGTTTTTCGCAGTGCAGGCTGGCAACTCCGTCCTGAGGACGCAGATGGTGGAGCTCAGCAACAGGCTGCAGTCTCTCAATGACATCCTCCACTGCTTGAAAGCAAAATATAGCATCAGTAGTGGCACCATGATCACCGATGACTTCATCAATCCGTGGAACCTCATGCGCATGAACCAGCCCATCATGGCTTCAGCAGAGAACATGTTTCAGTACGGAAGGATAAGAATCCATCATCAATGATGTAAAAGTGAAGGCTGCTGCCTGTGCTGTTGCTGTTGGTGCTTTTAAAACTTCAAATGCTCAAACTGTATAAAATTCCAGTATGTTAGGACCAAAAGTTGTATGAATGGTATAAAGAGAAAGCTTTGTCACAGATTGTGGCTTGTATGTGGTCTCCTACCTACATAAGCATCCAGAATCATTCTTATGATTAATCGATTTGGTTCATCAAACTAAGGCATGATTTGAACAGTTAAATGAGTTGGAGAGATTGAAGAGATTGAAGAGATCTGAGATCTGACAACAGAACAGCAACTTCCAAGGCCATAGAAAAATACTTTGAATGGTTAAATTCATTATGAATGCATGAGCAAGTCTTCATGGCCATT